TTTCCAGGTGTTAGTTTAATGTACCGGAGGGTTCGAGGAGGAAGGGGGGCCGTTGGCACGTTACAGATGTGAAAAGAAAGATGTGGCTTTCTGTCCCCACAACCCTGACTGAGATGTCATGGGCAATTCGACAGCGGAGAGGGGATTTCTTGTGCTGCTGAATTTTGGCATAAAGGCAAAATAATTGTCCCCAATGCCATAGGTCCCATAAGGAAAGGCAAAGAGGAGCGCTGTCTGCCAGCCCTCTGCTAAGGCCAAGGCTGGGTTTGCAACCAACAGTGGGTAGCGCTGATTTATTCAAGGAGGAGGGTGAACATGCACTTTTCTTGGAAAGGATTTTCCATTTGGCTTGTACACAGGCTCTGCGCTGCCCAAAGGCTGCCCTTGAACCCTGGGGCAGGCGCAAGGCTGAGGACCCCTCGTGCTTTGACCCCCCGGGTCTCCTGCCTGAAACAAGGTGTGCAGGGGCAGCATGGGCACCTCCTGCGGGCTGGGGAAGGGCTGCGGGTTTTGTCCCTGCCTGGGGTACCAGAAGGGATGGATCCGTCCTTTAACCACCAGATCATGCTGCATCTTTACAAACGCTTTTGGAAGAGCATTTCTGAAGCAATTCCATTTTCCTTCTTACTTTTTAAAAACTTTGACTGTAGTTTTAATCATCCCCGAATCCTTTGTTTGCACCTAAACAGGGCTGTGAAGATATGGTTGGGCAGAGTTATATGAAATGGGCTAAGAACGTAGGGAAAAGGGTTTCTGTGCCCAAAATTTTGTCTGCTTTTTCCAATTTTAGCATTCAGTCTACTAAGAGAAATAGTTCTTTAGTTCAAGCCTTATAACCACATGTCATTCAGAAAAGTTTAGCTAAGAATTAAACTAAACATCAGATTTGGCTGAATGTGTAATGAATAAATAAAGCCTTTTCCTTTCATGTACCCGTGCCAAACTCAACAAGCCTTATTAGCTGATGAAACAATGCTGACGCCAAATAAAAATACCCCTGACCCATCAATATAGGCTAAGAGCTCGGCCCTGCATCAAAGAGCATTGTCTGAATGAGAAATACTGTCTTGATACCTCGGGGGAAATGAAAAAGGGCTCCCATCCTGGCGGCGAGCTGGGCTCCCTGTGCCGCTGGCCGGGCGCAGGGAGCAGCAAAGCCAGTCCGTGACGGCCGCTGGCTCACAGGCAGTCCGCTCCGGCCACCTCTCCTTGCTTTTGCTGGAACGGTTTGGAAACCCCTTGAGCTGCAAACCTGTCGGAGCAGGTACCAGGGTTTTGGTGTTGGTTTGCTCCCCGCTGCCTGCCCTGTGTGTGAATTGCCCACAAAACCTGCATATTTTTTTATCTTGTGTGCAAAACACTGATGCTTGAAAGTGAAATTCTCGAAGGTCCCTGCTGGGTATCAAAGTGCTTCAGCATCTCAGAATAGCTCAATACCTGGGAGCACCCTGCCAGCTTCGTCCTCCTCCCCGGCAGGGTGGGATGGCGAAGTAACGCCCCATCTCCCCTCTGCCCCGGGCAGCTTTGCGGTTCCCCAGCCGTGCCAGCCCTGCAAACCCCCCTCATTTGAAATCTGCATTTAGCTGCTCCGTGCCATGCCCTGGGTACGATCTTTGAAGTCTCACTCTTCCCTCGACATCCTTGGTTAAAAGATCTGTTCCCTATTAGTCTTCAGTCACACTTTCAGATTCATTCAGGCTTTTATTTACTTATCCATCTGTCTTCCTGCTCCCATCACTCCCCCTGCCCTGCCAGGAGGGAAAGTACAATTCATTTTTCAGGTGACCCTGCCAGAAAGGCATTGACATGAATAAGAGAAGGTTCAGAAACCGTGGAAAAAGCAAAACCTCCAACTTTAATAAGCAGCAAAACACTTCTGAACCAGAAGGGAGCAGCCAGATGTGACTAGAATTGCTGTAGAACAGAAAAGACAATCCTCCAAATAATTCCTGCAATCCCCCAGACGCCTCTTTTGCAGAACTCTCTGCGAGCGCTGCTCGAAGTTGTTACAACTGTAGTGCGTGATCCTGTGGGCAGTGAAATGCCCCTCCGGTACCGGTACAG